AATTCTGTACCATAATAAAAATAGTTGTTATTATCATCATCATCATCATTATCATCATCATTATTAATATTATTATTAATATTATTAATTTTACCAGACCATATGAACTGATTTTAGAATATTTTTACAGTCTTTTTGCCCACACAGGATTATTGTAAAAATCCTGCTTACATTTTTGCAAAATAAAATTGTCTATATTCCTTACAAATATTGATTAATACAAGAAGAGTTTCTTATAAATAAAAGTAACATTACAGTACTACTATTTATGTCATCATGTTACTAAAAAGACGTGTCATGTGTGACTGAGCTTCAGACAGGGTCTATATAACTCCCTCAACAAACTGAACCAAGCAGTGTCCTCACAGCAATGTATTTTGGGATTTAGGATTATTTCTATGCCCAAGCATGTCTTACTGTACTTGTTAAGAATAAATCATMTCAGCCAGACAAGAAAAAAAAGTCACCCCCAGTTTAATAGCTCCCCATCATTCCAAAGTCACATTTCACGCTTCAAAAACAACAATTTCTCCTTCCTCTCTAGGTGATTCATGCCGAACAAGCTCTTTCAAAGTTCATTTCCAAAGATTCTTCAGTAATAATCCCACTGCATCATAAATGTGACTGATCTAAAACAAAAAAAAAAAAAGCATGCAGCTCTGTCTTTGCAGGCTCAAAACAACACCCAGCTGACTCAGTGTACTAATAGGCAGCCATCTGAACTGCTCCGCACTGACTGGAATTGTGCTCTTGAGGGATGACAGGCAGTGACAATGGGACCAAGATGTTTGTTTGCTCAAAAGTGTCAGGTACATTTGCAACAATTGGGGAAAAAGAGAATAAAATAAACAAACTAGCATAAGTATAAAAATCAGGCCATTTTTCTCTTGTCTCACTGGTTTTAAGGTAAAAAATAAATAAGTAAAGATGTGTTTAAAAAGAAGCTTAAGATAACAGCTAAAATGTATGGCATAAAACAAAACAACCAAAAAAGAAAACAAGTAAAAATACAATTTCCGTAATGGTAAAAGAATGAAGTCTTGCACACAACAAAAGTTCCTAACATAATCGGGTTTGACACTACTTTCAGTATTGTATAAAACCCCAACAAGAGGTTTACCAATGTCCAACCATCTTTGAAAGAATTGAACAGGTGATGTTTAGAGTTTTTGAGATGAGTCGTTCTGCACTGCAATTGAAGAGGGAATGCCAGTTAGTTATAGTGCGTATCAAGTCTGCAGACGAGTAGGCGTTTCTAAAGGAAAGCTTTTTTTAAAGTGATTGGATGAGCAAAAAAGAGGGCGTTACTCGAAGGACAACTGATTGGATGATCGTTGCTTAGGCGGTTCTTCATAATGTTAGCTTACGTTTCTAGCATCGGATTTTCATTTATTTAGTTAGTTTCACAAACTTGCTGTTGTAACTAAGGTCATCAGGAGACTCAAGGATAAAGACATTATTATGTGTTTAYGTGAAGACGCCACCAATGTTAGACCCGGCATCTTCATTATGTTCACTTCCAGTTGCATTTCAAAATAAAAAAGCAACATCAGTCGGTGGTCTTTTTTTTTTTTTTAGATATTTAGAAATACAGAGGGCTAAATGTTTGTTTTGAATGACACATTGCCATTTCATAAAAAAAATCAGTTGTGGCTGCTAAAATTAATGTGAAAATAGTTAAGGTCAAAGGTGAAAGAAAAAAAACTACAGAAAAGAACCTTTTTTTTTTTTGAAAAACAGAACAAATGCAACTAGCCAATTGGTGTTTATGCTTGAGACATGCCTGCTTTGAGTCTACAGGGGAACCCCTACTCATGGGTATAAGAATGGAAAAAAAGGAAAAATGACAGATCCTGGCAAGTGGAGGGAGTAATTTTATCCATCACCATGCATAATTGCACAATGGACAACCAGTCCAACACGTGCAAACACATACAGGCTTGATGGTCCCCCTCTTCCATGGCAGCAGTAGGGAATAATAATTATGTTAAAAGTTGGATTTTCTTTTCAAATGATGAACTAACAGGCTGTAAATGCCTCCAGAGGAGCTCTGCTGCCACATCTGTTAAACAGCTCCTAAGACAACCAAGTTGTTGGTGTATATTTATTTTTATATTCATTATCAGTTATTCCTCTTTTTTTACCTTGACCATATGTTCACAAATTCATTGTTCAGACTAGAGAATAATAATCAACTCTTCCCAGCTGAGTTATCTTTTTAAAATWCCTGGGACACATTCACTGCCTTTTTCAATGCAGTCTTATTTGTTCAGACTCGTGTATGGTGAACAATCAAGAGATTGCATAAACAGAAGAAAAACAAGTAAATTACCCGATTCACAATAGTGCGGCTGCAAAATCACAGAACAGATGTAAACCTGATTACAGCTAATGTTCATTTATGAATGGTAGCTCACTTATGCACAGGGCTGAGGGAGATAATACTGAAACTTGGCAAGGCAGAAAAAAGTGATTGGGATGGAGATACATAAATTGCACAGCGTTGGCACACATGGCTTTTTTTATAACATAAGTGTTTTATACCGATAAATTTGTTTTAGAAATTATTCAAGAATCCATTTTGAACAACCTATTTTGGGAGGAATAAAATACAATCATAATATATTTAACCAGAAACAAATTGCAAGCTTTTTATTTTAAGCTTGGCACTGCGTTGCAGCCTAATCTGCACAAACTGGCAGACTATGAGGGCTTCCAGTCAGAAGGGATATTAGCAGTTGATACTGTTTTATTGTGGTCAGTACTGCGACATATAGAGCATGTCTAAGAAATACTTACTTTGGTTAAAAATAAAATAAAATAAAAAACACCAAGATGCTAAAAACTAGCGTCAAAAACTGACATTCATTCCATGCAAAAACATCCTACTATTTTCATTGGAAACCTATTGGTAAAATAAATATCCTACAATTATTCATTGGCAGAATTGCCTTTTTATTCTCCAGCTTTCTTTATTCACATTCAGCTCATGAAAGAGAACTGAATTAATGTGGTGGTATGAGCCATTTACAATAATTTGGATATTAGGAAATGCTCAATGAAAGGTAACATTAACTTAAGTTGGCTTGTTCTTTGCATGAGCACCTTTTTTTCCACAAGGATGCATGCTGGTTGACTGACAGCCCAAATGAAGCAAAGGTAAACAACATTTGGCTGTATTCTGTTTGCTTTTGTTACTATACTTTGCTTGACTTCATTAAAAAAAAAACTAAAAAATAAAATAAAATAACAGCAGAACCCAGACCAATATTAAGTAGCACAATAACTGTTCTCACCTTGTGGCTGCCTGCTCGGATGGAAAATCTGCAAGTCAAAAGGTTGAGCACTTGTCTTCTGGATGACTGTGACATTTTGCCCTGTCCACTTATTGGCTCTCGCTAAAGTGTTTGTCCTCCAGTCCGTCCAGTAGACATTTCCTCCAAAGAGAGAAACAGCAAAGGGATGCGACAGGTATTCGTGGCCCCTGAGGATCTCTATGACCCCGCTGCCGTCATAGAGTGCAGAGAAAATGGCATCGGAACTGTTCAAAGGAGACACAATGCATAACAAAGATTGAGCAACCTATTTAATGTGCTCAAAGGAAAGAGGAAGAGAAATCAAAGTGAACCCCTCCAATCAATTGATGTAACTATTAAAATGTGCAAAACCTCTTTGAAACAACTGGTAGCGTGTTTTTTAGATCTCTAAATATTTCATTTCATGCATAATTGAATACCCACCAGAAGAATAGAAAGATGACTTTTTTTCAGATACTGCTAAATCTTTTGCAGTATAAACAAGTGTAAATAGCTGCAATTTGAATTTACCAACCGTGCATCGGTCCAAACAATCCTGCTTTCCAGATGATCCAGCGTTAGCCCATTAGGCCAGGCCCCAATCTCCATATCTTTGAACACAATGTGTCTCCCACCTCCACTCATAGATGCAGCTTCAATTCTTGGAAAAGTAGCATCCCAGTCAGTCCAGAAAATAATCCTTAAACCCAAAACCAAAAACCAGTAATTAGCATTGATCATTGTAGTTCAGCAAAGTTAAATGCATTCAGTACAATCAGATTCCAGTGTGTTTGACATAAAACATCTGAAAAACCATAGAGAATATGCATACATTGTTGTATATTTGTGCAATAACACAAAAATGGTTGGTGACTGTCCAAGAAGTGCATCAGCGTTCCAGTGAAACTCGACATAAATGCCATCTTTTGTAGAATAACTTTCACAGCTCAGAGAAAATGCCTGACCATTACCAATGTGACCATCAAACATTTGTTCCCTTAAAACAGAGTACCGTATTTATTCGTGTATAATACGATCTCATGTATAATACGACCGCCCCCCCCCTTTCTTGAGCTTAAAAAGCATAAAAAATTGAATCCTCAAACTACCTCCGATTTCATACAGACTTCAAGATTTTTCAGTCTTTGCAGTCTTTATACAAATCAGTAAAATGATCATTGGACTGTTCATTTTATTTTAACAACATATGTACTAAAAGGTATTTTGACAACAAATATATATCAGYTGTAGCAGCATCATATGAATTCTAGCATTTTACACATAGTCCACCAGGAGGCGCCAACTCAAGACTTCACATGAGATTTGGACCATCTTGTGGGGGAAAAGCAGATTACTTCCTACTCGCGAGCGCCCCCTCTGGTGGGGCAACATTTTTTCAGGGATACAAATTTTTTCAGAACACTGGTAGAAGGCAGCCATTACAGACGAACATGTGTTTGTTGTTGTTCGAGGAGCAGCCCGGTCACACGCCAAAGTCATTAGTTCGTTATCATTACTAAGGTGCAGGACTACTTTCCCCCCCCTTTTCCACATCATGTCGCCTGCCTGGATCTGTTATTATCTCGCTCTGAAGCACAGAGGAGTTTCAGAGGTAAGCTCGCTTCAAATGCTTTTTACGACGCGGTCTCATTTCCGGACTCAGGCATTTTGTGAATGAAGCCGATGCTTTAGTTGAAATACATAAGTAAAAATATTTATCAGAGTATAGTACTATCCTCCAACTTCATGATTTTATAGATTTAATTTTACATATATTTGAATAAATATGGTAGGTAGAAAAATGCTTCCATTCCAGGTAATAAAAAAATAGTTTTGCTTGATATGTTTTTCTTCTTTATTGTACTTGACATGTAAATCCCACAGGCACATAATAGCATTTAGCTAAAATCTTCYAAAAATCATTTCATCTATTTTTTTTGTTAAACTAGCTAATAATGATTTGACTTAGAATACTTTATATGTCAGTCACTTTGAGTCTGACAGTTTTGGGTTCAGTGATAGCTAACTTGGCTGGCCTTTCCATTTGAAGTTAGATGGCTAAAGGCAGTGCTTAAACATGGAAATGTGACATTCACAAATGCAATGTGGCTGTCAGGTTGCCAAAGTCCTCTGCAAATCACTTCGAATCTCATGAGTTTCATGCTTTGAACTCCAGACCTCGCAAAGTTTTATCTCCAATTGCCCAAGAAAACCAGAGCCCCACAATATTTTGACACTATGCTGGGACTTAGACCAGGAATATTGCCTCTGTCCAGTCAGGGTCTACTTAGTCATCTTGAATGAACAAGAAAATGGGTGCTCAAATTTAAATCACATACTGGCGACAACGAAACCGCGTTAGGAAGAAATATCCTTGTCCAGATCGATAGCCGTATTCACTTGATAAGGCCCCTGTGATCAATGACCCACTCCTTTGAGTGGATTCAAGTAATAAGATTAGAATTATTGCCCTGTAATGGAAATGCGCCTTTAGGCACCAAAAGCACCCATTAATCCTACTCTGCACAGCCATGAAATGTACTGTAGTCATCCTCCTAAATGTGAAAGAGTACAATGGGCAGAGTCTCGGAGCATATAACTCATTTCTTAAATGTGTTAAATTGATTTTTGGAATGTCTAGGTTTTGCCAAAGTATTCAACCAGTGGCTATTTCTCAGAAACTTCAAGCAAGAATAAGGGCCAAATGAGAAATATTAGAAACACTTTAACGGCAACAACAAAATGATATAGCACCTGAGAAGTTCTCACGACAATATGATGTAATGCCGATGCAGTCGATTAAAGTACTTATCACTTTTAATCACTTTTTTGAGCACAGTGTATGTGCGTGTGTGTGTGTGTGTGGGGGGGGGGGTATTACTAAATGTATGTTATATATGTTTTGTATATTTAAAACAGTTTTCTAACAGCAATGTGAAACTGCTATATGGAAAATTAACCATATAATTCAAATATAATACATTAATCAATTCTTGTAATATGACATGTTTTAGTATTGCATTGTTATTGTATGAATTTTTACAAAGAAGAAAATATTCTTAGTGTTTTGCATGAAAGTGTTTAGATATACATAAGGTCTGCATGTGTGTTGTCATAAACATGGAATCTTGAGCTTTAGTGTCTGAACACAATGGTTGATATMCACACTTTGTTTTAGCTCTTTGTAGCAAAAAAAATGTGTTGTCAGCAAAGCAAATGAAAAGCTTGTATTTCAGACACACATATAATTCTACAAAGATTCTTTCCATCTACCTCGGCAGGGTAAACATGAGGACAAAATTGAGAATTAGGCCCAGAGGGAACTAATTCGTGCAAGAACAAAGAATAMCTCTGGCTTTTTTGTTTAAAAGTTTTTGGTTGAAGTGTCAAAGAACAGCATTGCTGCTCAACAMAAGTAAATATGCAGTGAAGCATGGGAAGGGAAACAGAAAAGTTGGGAGTAGTCACTAAATCACTTTTTATKTATCTGAAATATAGAGTAAAACATTATTTTTTATTGTTTTGTGTAAGAACTGCCCCAGTGGATCCTAACAGTAAATCTTTATGTACCAAACAAATGCACAAATGTGAAATAAAKAAAAGTTAAGAGTCCACTTTTATTTTCTTCCATTATTCCTAGTACTTATAGCTGCCAGCAGTGATAAACATACCCCTGTCCAGGGTCAAGAGCGATGGCTCGAGGATGCTCCATGCCTCCTGCAATAAGTGTGGCGCGCATATCTCCGTTCAGCTTGGCCACCTCAATTTGGTCCAAATTGCTGTCAATCCAGTACAGTTTCCCCGTGATCCAGTCCACAGCCAGACCCTCCGGGGTGGCCAGACCATGCTGCACAACCACCTCAATCGCTGTCACTCCTAAGAGAATATTAAGACAACATAATGACCACATCGCACTGACATGTTGCCGTCTGTGGACAAGAGAGGCTAGTAAATACTAATTTTAAGAAAAGGTTTTGCTTTTTTTTTTTTTTTACAAAAGAAGATCTATAATTTTTTTCTTTTTTTTTCTTTTATACAGTAGGATTGCTTCCAGCAAGGTTCCATTAAGCATGGCAAATTAATTCCCTGACTATACTTATAATCCAACTGTGTAAAATTATTCTGAGATGTCTGGTCTCTTATATATGTGTCACAAAAAAGGGTAGAATGGGCACCAGCATGAGTTGATTGCTATAGCTCCACAGAGGGAAATAAATTCAAGAGAACTGCCACCCACAAAAGCACAGTGGCCACAAGAAGTTCTGATTCATGATTTTAAGAGGAGAAGATAATGTACTATAAGAGATGAGGACTTCTGGCCCTGCAGTATTTTTCAGCTTTAGTCGAGATCATAAAAATTTTCAGGAAGAGGCAACATCAGTCCAGTTTCTCTGAACTAAGTACAATATGTGAGGACAGCAAATGAAACAGAAATGTATTGTTCTGAATATGTTTAAGTCTTCATTATGGTGGTTCTAGAATGTAAATTAGTACAATTTGTGTTAATCAAAGTATAATGTATATTGGTGTTCATGTGTTTGCGGTGTGTGCATACCGCCAGACTCCGAGAGCTTTCCTCTGTAGATTTTATCCTCCACCACATCTGTCCAGTACAGAAGGCTGTGGTTAAAGTGAAAATCTAAAGCAATGGTGTTCCTCAGTCCTGGCACCAGCAGACTGTAGTCCCTCCTGTGAAGGTCTATTCGTCTTATCTCATGACGGATTGAGAAAATGATGAAAGCTTCAAAAGAATCTAGTCAAGGAGACAAGAATCAGATTTTAGTTTTTTTTTTTTCCTGACCTGACTATGTGGAGCATCATGTATTAGAGACAACTATTGTTGCATATGCTATCTATTTTGACCTAATTTGATTGGTTAAACATGATGTGACCCATAATAAAACCTTAAAAATGCCATGTTTTAGAGAAAATCTGTCCTTTTAAGACATCACATTTGTAAGAACAAAAACAATAGACCTATGTATTGTTAACAAGATAATGGGAGCTGTGTTATTTTCTGTTCAAACACACATTAATTTGGTCTCCCCCAACTCATATCGTGTTCTGCCTCCCTACTGCTGTACAGTTACCCAAAAATATGACTTGCAGTGAATTATAGTTGCTTTAAAAAATAAAACGTACCAAYTCCATGCAAATCTTGTGGCAAACTAGCAGTGAAATACAGTATTAGAAACAGATGCCTGTTTTACTCTGAAGCCCAGCAGTTGGACTAAAGAACCATTAAAAAGCCTTCAGGTTTCGGTGTTTAAGGTAAATTATTTTTAACAAGATACGCTTAAAGCACTGTTTTTTTCCAGGTATGCCTAATCT